TTTGGCTGAAGATGTAAAATGAATTGAAAACATAATGAACAGTGAAATGCATTAAACTAGATTTTATTTAATAGATATATTTCTTCATCTGCAACATGCTGCCACAATCAATCCCTTTTGTAGGATTTTTTTATGTCATTAAATTTGACATTAACATAACAACCAACCGAATCATAACATACAATAACATATAACATAACATAACAGTAGGAATGATGATCACAGAATAATATTTGTAGCGCTTTTCTCTCATTTTCCTATTTCCTGCTGTAGCACCTTTGTACATAATGAAACCTTTGCAGTTCAGGAGCCTGTTTTACATGAACACACACACACACACACACACACACACACACACACACACACACACACACACACACACACACACAGAGCCAAAACAAACTAAATCTATTAAAAACCAAATATCCCAAAAGCTCCTAGTCTTTATTTTTCTGTCATTGCCTCTCTCTCTCTCTCATGTGGCCTGCTTATCTCTTGCCCAGCGGAGACAGAAGATGAGATCAATTTTCAGGATCAGACCTTGATTAAATATCGACAAGGCCTGGCTCTCCCTCAGAAAGCAACTCTTTGATCACCAGATGAAAAGCTTTCAAAGTACCCATCATTGTCTCAAATCAAACTTATTAAAGTTCGGCGTGCATACTGCCGAGCCCTAAAGCACACAAAGGTCCAAAATTACACCCCTTTGTAATGTAATTGTAGGCATTCAATACATTTTCAGTGTTTTCAGAGTCCTTGAAGCAAAACATGATTGCAGATAGTAAAAAGCAAACTTATCTTTCCATTATCAGGCTATTCAAGTTTTTTTTTCTATTCTTTTTTCACTCAGCATGAATAGTGGCGCTTGAAATTAGACTTCAGTTGTCTATGACTGAATGCCTCTCAAAGCCTCTTAAAAGAAAAAATCTACAAAGTTTCACTAAACTGAAGATCTTTGCAAACTTTTCATGATCCAGTGAAGAGACAGGCACACTGATATTTTTAAGCATTTTTCACACAAAGAGTACAATGCTGAAGCTTTTTTCCAATTCAGTATTTTAACTCTGCCTCGGTTTAGTGGTACGTCCTTCCCTTCTGCTTTTCTTGGGGCAGTTTTATAAACATTTGGTATTCATGTACTCGTGGAAATCTCTGGCAAGGTGTTTGCCAAGGAGAACTTGTTTGTGCAGCTAAGCAGGACCACCAGTTATCAACACATTCAAGGTACATTATGCCAGATTTTCTATAGTGTGTTATAATACTAAACTTTAAAGGACACCTATTAGTATCATGGAAATCATTCTGACACTTCTAAAAAATAATAATAAAACAAAAAACTACCACACCAATACAGCCTTCTGGCAAAAATCTGCCATATTTGGGCGAGAAGATAAATGCAACTAATAGTTAAATATTTAAGTATAATAGTTTTTTGTGCTGATGCAGATTAGGGCATGTAAAATGTGCTCTGGTATCTTTTCATGTAGTTAATCATGTCATAGTTTTTTAATATGTCTTTAACACTGTAAACCTATACAATTAGACCAATAATAATGAAGTAAACTAGCAAAGTAGTTTTGGTAAAAGCCAAATGTAAAAATGATTTTATACAATTCCCAAAACCTAGTTTTTGTTTGTTTTGAGCCACCACCGACTCAACCATCTTTCTGTGTGGATTTTGTCACCCTCTCAAAAACTTACGCAGGTAAGAAATGGGTAAGCAGTGATAGGAACGAAAACAATATGAGAATTTGACTGAATGACCTTTTGTGAGCACTTGCAGTAAAATTTCATAGGGCACAAATATAAGCTGAAAGCACTGCCTGGCTATAAAGTCATCAGTCTAAAAATTGATGGTTTGTTTTGAGTGAGGGCAAATGTAATTAGCACACAATTTGCTCTTAATGGGCCACAACCTGCAAAGCCACACCATAGTCCATTAAGGACCCTTAAGCAACCTACTAAGGGACTATGGAAACACTCTGTGATCCCACAGCGTCACTCTGTCTTAGAAAAAAAACAACATACTTTGTAAACATCGCATCTAATACGTTTGTTTCCAATTTACTATTCTCAAAAAAGATCTGTGTGTAGCCTCCAATACAGAAGTTACTCCACACTTACAGTCTCATTACTCATAACATCACCAGTTTCTGTTTCTTGGCTGTTTTTTCTGTTGTCAGCTGCACTGGCTTTCAGAAAAACTGCAAATGTCAAGTGATCTGTTGCAGCACTCTTAACTCGTCTGAGCTTTACCTAAGTGCGTCACTCTCTCTGTAAAGACACCAGTTGAAGCTCTTCTGTCAAGTGGCTGATTTCTGTTAAGACACCGATCCTTTAGTTTGGCAGGGCTAATTTTCACAAAAACTATATGAAACGTCAAAAGCTGACAATTCTTCAACAGTCACACCAAATCCACGCAGGGTTTGTCCCCTTTCCTTTTGAAAATCACCAAAGCCAAAACAAGGAGAGACTGTCCACAATGAAAATTTTAAAAAGTTTTTTTTTGAATGTCAAACTGATGAGCATCTCTGAATGCACATCAAATTGAACCTTGGCAGGCGAAGCCCATACCAGGTGCCACTCCTATCAGCTAAAAACAGGAAACTGAGGGTACAAATCACTGGATTCACCAAAATTGGACAACAGAAGATTGGAAATACATTGCATCCATTCAAAATATGATTTTCTAGGGAGAGATACAGTCTTTCATTAAAAAACACAAATACTCTTTTTGCTGCAAGCAACTTACTTTGTTATATTAACTGGTATTTAAGGGCAATAAAAATACCTAAAAATGTCTAAATACAAATAATACACAGCTTAATGTCTTTCCGATGGACTATACAGTATATTTATCTTCAAATGTTTTAATGCCAAGCAAACCAGTTTGGAGCAGTGTGGAAGCTTCAGAGGATCTAATGCACCCTGGTGAGCACAAACGCTCCAAATTCACAAAGTAAAAATAAAAGGCAGCTAAACTACTTCTAGCTCCAAGTCACTACCGGCAAACACACACACACTTGTACACATACAGAGAGAGAGACAGAGCCAAAGGGAGCAGAGGGGCCCAGGGAGACAGATTGTCTTTTAATTGGTTGAAAACTGCAGAGCTCTGAAAAGGGCTGAAGGGGACACACACACACACAGCAAACATACACACACAAATCACAAAATGTCCTCTGTGATAGTGAGGAGACGTAGCCAGTCCCTGCTGACTGACTGGTATAATGAGCTGAACTCAAGCCAAAACTTGTGTGTGTCTGTGAGTCTTTGTGTATCTGTTTGTGCTGATTGTGGGTGTGGTAACCTGCTGACAGAATGATGGTTCAATGATAGAGTGGATTGAGGGTCAAGAGAATGTAAATGTGTGTCTTTTGAATGTTGCTCTGCTTACCGGCAAACAATAAATAAAGTCAGAACAATACAGGTTGATGAAGGCTGATACGATTTAATATTTCAATACCTTTTCTTCCTTTGGGGGTTGCCAGAGCAAATCATCTGCCTCCATCTCACTCTGGCATCCTCCTCTGTTCCTCAAATCCTCTGCATGTCCTCTTTCATCACATATCATCTGTACTTTTAATATTTTTCCTCCTGCCTAGCAGCCCCATCTTCAGCATCCTGTCCTATATATCCAGTATCCCTCCTCTGTCCATGTCCAAGCTGCTCAACCTGAGCTGTCCCTCTAATACACTCATTTCTAATCCTGTCCATCCTGGTCTTCAACTTCAACTCTGCCACCTCCAACTCGTCCTCCTGTCTTTTCCACCATGTCCTGAATACACATTATAGGAGGTCTCACCACCATCTTGTAAACCTTCCCCTTCACTCTTGCTTTTACTGTTCTGCAAGAAATTCCCCCAGACACTATTCTCCACCCACTCCACCCTACCTGTACTCTCCTCTTCACCTATACTGTTACTACAGTATGCTTTCTCTATATCCACACTCTCAAAGGATACATTATATCTTTAGTGCTTTTTCTCAGCATAAAGCCATACTACTCACCATACTATCAGCATACCACATCAGCTTGTGAGTGTATTTTTGTTCACGCTTGTTCTTAAAAATTTGTAGCAATCAACTTCCCCATTCCTCAGTTATCCCCTTACTCTCCAAGACTGTGTTAAACAGTCTGGTCAGTCTTTTGCCCTCTCTCCACACCTTCATCGCCTCTTTTGATGCCTTCACTAGCTCGACCTGATATCGTGTTGGTCTTATTCCTGGACCAATAAAACGAATGTTTGTCCAGGTTCAACATTGCAAGTGACCAGTCACATTGTAGCAATGTCATAGTTTTGCTTCATGGAAACACGTCACGCCACACATCAAATCATAAAGTGGTGAACCCTAACCCACACTCTAACTTTAGCTGTAACCTCTAACCCTATCTATGATTTTTTCCTGAGTGGATATGTAGGTTTTTTCCAAGTCACAGAGCTATGACATCATAGCAATATAATTGTTTAGATGCAATTTTGATCCTGGAAAAACATTATCTTAATTCAGGAACAACATTAACACAAGGATGAGATCAGACAGACTGCCTCATCCTTACTAATCTCTGCACTTCATTCAGCAACTTTCCTTCATCCATCCTCTTCTCCCTCATTTTCTTCATTCATCGGATCCTCAAAGTACTCCATCCATCTATTCTCAACACTCGCTTCATTTGTTAGCACATTTCCATCTCCATCCTTAATCACTCTAACCTGCTGCACATCCTTTTTAACTCAGTCTCTCTACCTTGCTTGTCAATACAAGTCCTTTTGTGTTCAGTCTCACATACCACTCACTATAAGCCTTTTTCCTTTGCTACCACTCTCTTTGATGTACACCTAGCATCCCAGTAATCCTGTCTACTTTTTTCATAACTTTAATATTTAGATACAAATAACCAAAATCCTCCTAGAATTGGGATTGGGTGTGAATTACATAGCACAATTGCAGTTTTATCACTGAGCTCTACCATATAGAAGTCTCAGATGTGTGTTTACCTCTTGATGGTCCGCAGCAGAGTTGATCTGGCCTCATTGTGAAAGGTGATGATGATGGAGGTTGAAGGAAGTTCTGAGTCGTAGTGAAGAGTGGTGCACCTAAAGAAAGAGACAAGCATTACTCAATGCTACTGGCAAGGAACCCTTTGATTTAGTAAAAGGCATGTCAAATTTTAAAATGCTGTATTAAAAGACAGGTAAACATAAACTGTTTTGAACTTTGAGTAAAAGTTAAATGAGCAACAAGTCCTCCAGCTACTCTTTGTTCAGCTCAGCTCGCTGTCAGTTCCCAAAATATAACAAATTGACTTTCAGGCAAGACACACATTTTCAAGTTGAGTCAAAAATCAAAGGCTGTCTGATCTTGACATAACAAATCTGGCAAGAGATTAGAGGGGCACCCATGTAGCAACTGTGGTCTCCACCACCCTAGCCAGGGATAGTCAAACATTACAGTGAGACTACTGCATCAGCTGACAGCTCAGCTCATATCCTTCTAAACCTCAAGTCCAAGCCACTTTGCAACCCAGCTCCATCCTTGTCACTCCCTTTATGCTGCGCCTGACTTTATTAATGTCATATCTGTTGTCGCTATATGTCTGCTTTGTGCTTGGGTCTTGCTGCTGTTCCCTGCCTCTAGTTTTCCATGTATCTCCAAACAAGAATGTGTAGTACCTGACAAAAAAACAATGCTACTAAATAAAAATTTCTAAAACTGACTATACTAGTAAAACACAAAAGGCTTGAATTAATGGAATTAATACAGAATGAATGTAAGTTTATTATTTAAAATATTTAAATATAAAAGAAAATTACCCCAACTATCGTCAACATGCATCAATCTTGACATTCCTTCCCAGATGATTTCTCTCGCACTCACACTATGTGATTGTAATGACCCACACCTTGAATCACATCTTGGCTCATGTGGTGGTAGCAAACTACATGAGGCATGGAGGTTCTGTGACTATCAGGACCACCCCCACGATGATAACCCCAATACGGGTTTAATATCTATGACTCCCAGTCAGTTTCCAAAACTGAAGAAGGATTTTAGATGAGAGAGAAAATGTCTTCATGAACCTAAAAAGAAATCCAACTGCTTTCAACTTAAGTGCTTAAGACTACCATGATACACGCAAAACAAGCAATTTTCTAGAATTTCTATTTAATTATTATTTTTTTGTGATGTGCTGGTATACAAACATACACTATACTGGTCAATAGTACTTGTTTTAAGGTGATTACTGTGAGACTATTTCCTATAATGTTGGCTGCTTCTGTCTTCAGGTATAACACACACACACACACACACACACACACACACACACACACACACACACACACACACACACAGTAACCAAGTGATCAGACCAGACATGTTGAAAATGAATTATAGATGACCACCACTATGCTCATTAAAATACGTTGCAAAGTGTGTGCATGTTTGATTGCAGTGCATTCGCTGGGTCAGCAGGCTTTTCTTCTAAAAGAGAAGAGGAACGCACACACACATCACACGCACATACACACACAGACGCGCGCACACACACAGGCGCACTGTATAATGAGAAGACTGGCCTTTACCTATCAGATTGATGGATTGGTGACATTTTCCAACAGAAACAGTCTGCTTGGTCTGTTCTGGCCTTTATTTTTAAGAAGTTAACCTTTCTCGAATATGTGTGTGTCTGTGTGTGTTTGTGCATCTGTGTGTTTGTAGAACTAAACATACTGCACCATTAACGAGCCTAACATGTGGTTTTCTGCAGCTCACCTAATCTACTTCCATAACGTGTTTCATTATTTGTTTTGCAGAAGGCGACGAGGTTAGAATATTTAATTTAATATACCGCATACAAGCAAGAAAAATATGATTGGTTTTATCCATTTCCTTTGATACAAAACAGGAAAAAAAGTTTCCTGTTTTGTATCATTACAAGAGGATCAATACAAAATGTGAAATGTAAACGCACAAACAAATTGCCAGAAGGCATTTTTACAGATCAAAAATTAGCCATTTGACATATAATTTTGTATGTAATAAATGAAAAGCATGCTCTGCTGGGGTGAAATCAGGTGACTGACTTAGACATGAAAGAATATCCAATTTCTTTGTCTTGAGAAACTCTTGCATTGCTTCTGCATTTGTCTGAATAGGAACAAAGAGTATTGCTTTGTACACTTCATAATTCATCCATGACACATTATCATTGAACACTGTTGGCCCAGTTCTACAGGCAGTCATTCACACCCATACCATAAAATTGCCTACACCATGTTTGACAGATGATGCACTGTGCTTCACATTTCCTTTTTATACATTTTTCAGCCTACAAGTTCATTCTGGTTTTATTTACCCAAAGAATCTTTGGATTCTTTGAACTGTCGGACTTTTAGATGTTTTCTATTGAATCAGATTTTCTGCAAACCAAGGCGCTGTGGTTGTAAACCCATTGTATTACAACTACTGACTGTAGATGCTGACAATGACGTCCTCCTCCTGACACTCTTGAGCTACCTCCTCAAGAGTGATCTTGACTTGGTTAGGTTGAGACGGAGGTTTATTGTAGAGTCTTTACTTTACAGTATAAACCGCCTCGAGGCAACTGCTGTTGTGATTTGGCACTATATAAATAAACTGAACTCCATTCAATTTTTCTTAACTATGAAATGAATTCTGTCATCATACACTTTAGTTGTGTTCAATGGCCTTCCAGGCTTTGCTACAATTTGCCTATCCCCACTACTAACTTTAAACACTAGGTCTGCTTTATTTTCCATATTATAACATGGGAACAGGCCTCACCTCATCACAACACTGCTTGTTAGTCAATTGTCCAATTACTTTTATGTATGAAAATGGCTGTATTTAATGCAACATTTTTGCAAACCTTGAACTGAAGCTGTCTGCTAACTGCCACAACCTACCTGTTCACTGCTGCACATCTTAAATGCTTGACTTTAAATTAACTGTGGTTTACAGACAAAAAAGGAAGAAGCTGTATTCATTTATTTATTTCATTTAGAAAGAGGGGCAATACATATTAATGAACATTTTAACAAATGTAAAGATGCCAGATTATAGCCTTGGGGTAATTTCCATCCGCAGACCCTCTGGCAGGTTGGTGTTACACACAAGTTAGTAAAAACATACAGAGACACTATTTACAGGTCATGTGACAAGGACAAAAACAGTGATCACATTATACTAGAACAAACAATGACAAGAAGAGTGGACAACAGAGGACAATATAGATAACAATAATGGAAACACATCAATTATATTGCACAAACCCCAGTATTGCACATGCCCTGAGTGTCCTGATATTGCACTGACCCATTACACTAATAGTTGTTTCCCTTTTTTGTAATACACAAACTCTTTTTCATGTTCAATATAAAGCATGATTATTAAACATGATCACATGCTTGTGTGTCCGTCAGCTGCCCTTTTAAGTGACTCTTAAAGATGGGGAGACTTGTACGTTCCCTCACTGACAGTGGAAGACTATTCCAGAAGCTCATTCCTTGATATGACAGAGCATTCTGTGAAAAGGTGGTCCGTCTAAATGCCAATTCACAATCACCTCTCACAGTTGCTCGAGTCAGTCGAGACCCGGCAACACTGCTAGACTTTTGTTTAATAAAATCACTCATTGGTGGAAGCGCCAGACCATGTATAAGTTTGTATATTTGACAAGCAGATTTAAATAATTTGAAATTACTTAAAATTTAGAAAGTTGTATTTATCTAAAATGTCTTTTTTTCCAGCAACTCGTTGACTCAACAGAAATATGTTGTATTGTGTATATAATTCATATTGTAACACAGTATTAAAATTAAAAAGTGGTTAGTCACATATTATATAGGCAGTTCACATAATTTTCTCCAAGCATGTTCATATCATAGTGCTCAAAAATACAGAATTTTCTTGTAGCATAAGTACAAATATTCACATTTCCCAGCAAGACAGATTGGGGAGCTCCTTCCTGTTGCTGCCCAACTTTGTAGTTCAAAAAGATAAGATATATATATTCCTCACAGAAAAATCTAAGGGAAGGAGACTTTTCTACTTCCCTGACATATGAAAAACGAAGACACCAAAAGCATGTTGCCTTACTGTGATCATACCAAATATTTTTTTCATACCACAAAACATAAATATGTCTTCTGATATAAGTTTCTTTGGAGCTTATCTGTGTTTCTGTATTCATGGCTTATCAAACACGATGCCAGTCTGAGTTTCTTGGGATTTATTCACTAAACATAAACTCAAAAACATTGTTTCCAACCTTCCAAGATCACATCAGTCGGGTCATGTGTAATTATTCAGGAACACATTCAACAACAATGAATATCCAATGAGCTGAGTTTTTGTATTAGCAGACCGCATGTGCCACATTTCCACTAGTTTGTGAGCTCAACTCAGTGTGCATCATCTAAGTGTCCTTGAGCTAAACATTGAACCTCCTCTTGAGATCTGCTGTGGGTTAGAACACAAGCTCAACTCCTAATTTGTTGTATTAACAGGTCGGCACGCAGCATCAGTCAGCGCGCACGAGCACCCGGCTGTGAAATAATACCATCAGCACCTCATTAACTCGCAATTTGATTTTTTTTTTCCTTTTTTGTTTGGAGGCACAGAGATGAAGTAGGGAAACAATATTTCCAAAGGAGATTAGAGAATTTGTCTACCCATGCATTCCTATCTATGCATGTATACTTTAGTTGTTTTTCCTCCTTTATTCTTTTATTTATTCATCACTCTAACATTATTACAGTCTGCTTTGGTTTTCCCTTACTTTTATGGTTCCTGTTTTTCACACAGTTTGGAGCGCCTCTGAGTTTTCTATGCTTGTTTTTTGTTATTAGGTGTTTTCTGGTTCTCTCAGTTATGTTCTATGGCTGTTTCTTTCTGTGCGAATTTTTCATTTCTGTGTTCAGCTTCCTTCTCTTGGCATTTCCTCTTTTACTTTGTTAGTTAGTGTCCCATTTGTCTTTTATCCTGTTCCCTAAACAATATCTAGTCCTCTCTTATCCTTGTCTATTGTCTATTGAGTGTTTATAGGGAGAACACACAGGGAGTGTGTTCTCCC